CATATTATACATGAGATCATATTATACATGAGATCATATTATACATGAGATCATATTATACATGAATAAATACAGTAATTAGATGCAGACACTGAAATCCATTTAGGTTCATACTCGATGTTTGCAATATTATCATTTTTAATACCACACAAGGAGAAATATATCAGACACTTGATATGTTGTCCTCCTCAGGTCTAGCTTCTTTGTTTGTGTTGGATGTGTTTTTCTTGTGTTGACTAGATGTTTGTGTTGCTAGGGCCCTACTGATCCACAGGTCGAGCATTCTTACAAAAAATCTCTTTAGGTTTTCACAGAATGTTCTTTAACGTGTCAAAACAACTGATTCAGACACTCAGAAAGCACGACCACAGCTTATTTCTTGCTGCTAGGTTGCAATAAATTTTWCACCTCATAATATATTAGCTTCACACTTCCACACAGTTCAGCTGGTGTCAACATGAATAAGATGGAATATTTTACTCATCTTTATCTTCAGTCTTCACTTAGTTCCATCAGACGTGATACATCGATGGTTAACATTAACCAGTAATATATAATATCCATAACTGTGATGATAAATGTCTCATTTTTCTCTTTCTTAGAGGGTCCAGAGTACGAGTACAGTGGCAGTGATGATGAAGAGGATGAGGTACCAGAGGAGGAAGGTGAACCCAGGTAACCTCAGTTGTTACATCAACCATGACTGTGTTTATCTGTAGAAATCTGTCAGGAATCTGATTCCAAATGAAGTATGGATGGAATAAACCCTGCACAGATACTAAACACCAGATTTGCTCAGTGCTAATGCTAACAGAGAACACTGCAAGGCGTACATATGTTCGTAGTTTCTGTCCGTGGACAGATTGTTGTTGATGTCCCCAAATGTCCAACAACAGATGGCTGTTCAGGCAGAGTTCCTGCTCCCTGGATGATCTCTAAGGGTGTATTTTCTGTAACTCCACCCTCTGCGTCTTGTCTGAAAGTGGACCGTCTCACTCAGTTTGTGTTTGTCCCCTCTCAGCTCCATAGTGAACGTTCCTGGTGAATGGACGTTAAGACGGGAGTTTCTTAGTCTGCAAACGGAAGATGGAGATGGAGGACGAGACGGAGGTCAACAAAAGCAGGCAGGTCTTCAGTTCTCAGTAGACCTCATCCACATTGATTAATATAGATTTATAAAAGAAAACCTAACGTGTAGAATAATAGTTTATACGATCTCATGTTAATTAATATTCTTTTTCTACCAAGATATTAGTAACAACAGTGAATCAGCTCCTTTTTAACAAAAAATCATAACTTTTTAAGGTATTTTCATACATACAGTATATATTTAAAGTGATTATATGAGTGTTGAAGGCTCTTTCATGCAGGATATAAGGAGTTGTGACACAGAGCCAAGCTTGAAGAGTTCATTTTGTTTGTCTTCTTGTGGGTATTTAGTTAGAAAATGGCATCACATCATCTCTATTAGTACCAATTTATCTRTCTATTAGCAACACCAGGCTGCTGCAGAATTATTAACCATGTCAAATTCAGTAGACTCAACACAACTGTTTTCAAACACCACATGAAGATTTTCCTGCTGCCTTTCATTTTATTTTATTAGTCATTTGTATTTCTTTGTGCATTGAATTTGCTTTATTTTTAAATGAAATGAATGAATAAACTTCAAGTATATATATATATATATATCTCGCCCATTTCCATCTTGTTCCAGTAGCCCATTTTTCATCAAGGTGCTCTGGTTCCTCAGCACCTGACGCAGACCTTGTTTGGCCGGGCGACGTCTGAGCCGGCATGTCATGCTTATTAATGTCTCTCATGGTATGAGGTAGGCCATATAGCTCCAAAGGGTCTTGCCTAAGGACCCACCCTGCATGGCTCAATTTTTGTTGTTTGCGCCGGCCTGGATTCAAACCCTGGTCTCCCGGGTGGAAGACCGGTGACTTACCCACTGAGCTGATATATATATAGTGGCCCAACAGTAACATTCCATTCTTTGTTTTTCTCGTGAACTATCCATACTTGAAGAAAAGAAACTACTCAGTTTGACAGATTGGCTCCTTATTCTCAGTTGAAGATGGAGAAGTTGAAGGAGGAAGATCAAGTATTTTATTTGTTGAGAACTGCTCTTTGTCATAAAAACAACCACCAGTGTTTCTGACAGACGATGTGGGGACGTGTCCCTACACTGTCCAGAGGAGGGGCTGTTGTTTCCAGTCATCACAGCCACACAGACCTGCTCCGTCTCTTCCCTGGATAAAACCTGTCCAATCTGCTTCCACAAGGTCTTCACCTGTACTTATTGTTTCTTTCTGGAACTGTTGTCATGTTGGTGTATTTTCTTAGAGACCAGCTCACTGCAGCCTTTTATCATAAACAAACAGGCCCATAAAGTTCTGACCCATCACATAATGCTTGACACATACCCTGTAAGAAACTAGCTCTGACCGGGGGCAAAGATCCAGACGGGTCTCAGTGTGGGCTGTGTGCAGAAAGTACACAGTTTTCATCATGTCACCACTTTATCAAGAAAGTTTTTGTTACATCTCATGAATGTTTCACACAGTACTCTGAGATGATGTTCAATGTGACGTAGTGCTAAATAAATATACTAAATTACACTGAATTTAATTAACTATGATCAATGCTTCAGGCTACACTATGCTAACACTCTGTCTGATGTGTAGGTAGCATTACAAGAGTACCAACAACCTCTTTACTGTGTTTGAGTACCACACAAGGCTTGGGCTGTGTGAACGTGTTTTATTATACCCTGATATCAAAATGTGATGACGCTATTGTTATATTGAATCATAAATTTAAAGTTTACCATTGATATAAAAACAATTTTTATTCTTACTTAGGTAAAAAACTATACACACACACACACACACAC